AAAAAAGGAAAAAAAAAGAAGCTTTACTCTGTCCTCTGTGGATACTGCCACTGCTGCAGGCAACTCTCCCAGGCACCTGTTGCTGCCCAGGCTTGGAATATTCCATTCAGCCTCTAAGAAAGGAGTCAAATGAGAGAACTATGAAACCTCACAGGGCTTGCTCTAGTCAGGCTTGGCAGAGAATGGGGGCTTCCTGGACTCTCTAGCTCTCAAAAGAAAAAAATTAGAAAGCCTGTTAATATCTTGCTTGAGATCTCACTGGCTGTGTGATTTCCTCGTGACTGAGTGAGTCCCTGATCCATCTTCCAAACAAATGAAACCCTGGTCAGGAGTCTAACCCGAGCACCGAAAGCTTGCAGTAAAATTTAAGCTTTATTTCTTCCTCTTCCTTATTAGGCAACCCCCAAATAGTAATCATGAATTCGCTTTCCCTCCTCTTCCTAAGTCTATCAGTAGAAGAATACTTCATGTATGGGTGACAGACACACAGGGTACCTGGGGGATTTGTCTCATAACCCATCACTTGGCACCAACCATTTATGTTACTACTAAATCACCTTGAGATAGGGTTGACATCCATATGTAACCTCCTGGATTTTTTTGAGAATACAGATTTCTGGGACTTCCCTGGTGGCGCAGTGGTTAAGACTCCACGCTCCCAAATGCAGGGGGCCTGGGTTTGATCTCTGGTCAGGGAACTAGATCCCACACACATGCCACAACTAAGAGTTCACATGCCACAACTGGAGCCCGCATGTTGCAACTAAGGAGCCCACGTGCTGCAATTAAGGAGTGGGTGAGCTGCAACTAAGGAGCCCGTGAGCTGCAACTAAGGAGCCTCTGAGCTGCAACTAAGACCTGGCACAACCAAATAAATAAATAATCAGAATGCCTCTATATCCATTAAAAAAAAAGAATACATATTCCATCAAATTATAAAAGGCAGATAAATTCTATACCTTTTTGCAAATGAATTTCAACAACTTTATACCATGTTAATCTCTTTAAGACAAAGATACTTTAAAAACAAACCAAGGTCTAAGGATGGAACTTTGTGGGTTCAGAACCCCCAAGATGATGAAATATCTCAGGTTCACTAAGGGATGGAAAATGGGTCCCTCTCCTTTCATTATTACACCCCTACCCCAACCAGCGTCCCAGTGCTTGTCCAAAGAGAGGAAGACCCTCAGCACTGGGGAGAAGTTCAGGGTTGGGAACTGAGAGAAAGCGGAGTCTAACTGCTTTCCTCCCCACTCCCCCCACACACAACAAAGATTCAGGTGGCCTAATTTGCCAAATACAGCCTTTTGCCTGCATTGCCTGCATATCCTCCACCCCGCCCCGCCCACCCCCCGTCACACGCAGGATTTGGGAAGGATTTTTAAACTAGCAACATCATCACCAAATGCAAATAAACTCATCACATTGAATTTCTTCTCAAGTCGCCTTACAAATATGGTCTTTAAAGCACAGTGAGAACACTCAAAGACATGAAATGCTGCTTAAAACTGCCCCTGTAGAAGTGATCTCTTCTGCTGCAAAGAGATGAAAAGGCAAATATTTCTGAGTGGTTCAGGTTCCCTACTCAACAGTCATCACGTGAGCTTCAATTGCAAAAAAAAAAAATTCACGAAGTGTTTAAAAATCTCCTTTAATTATATTTTCATGAACTCCAAGAACATCATCATTGCAGTTAATGTTACAAAAAAGCAAAGAGGGACATCTGAACATGCAATAAAAAATGGATTCACAGTGAAAATAATGTATGTTGGTACTAAAATATAGTTACTTGGCTCCCTGAAGGGAAAAGCTTTCTTCTAAATATCTATTCACTTGGGTTTTATCATGAGAAAATATTTTTTTTTCTGGAAAGCTTTGGGAAGTTTTCAACTTGTGCTACTGTTATTGTTAGCATCTGCTGGAAGTCCCTCATTCTGAAAGCCATTATTTGCAGTCTATAATTTAATCAGAAAATTCAAAAGTACAACAAATAGCTTGGCAACTGTGTTGTTACATACAAAGCCATTAGCAAAAATATGTAACAAAATTTATGTGAAACAAACAATTTTGTCCTTATATACAGAAGTTTGCTTTATTCCTCATACCCTCACAGCCTACTCAAAAATGAGAGGGTGTGGCAAAAAAAAAGAGAGGGTGTGGAGGGAGCCGGTACCAATCTCCTTTGAACTCTCCTTCTGGGTGGGGTAGAGAAATCTTAAAAGGTAAGTTAACTATTTTAACCTTCTTTTAAATGAGTTACAAAAATGCATCTGGGCTTCTTAATAAAGAACAAAAACTAGGAAAAATGATAGTGGCTTTAAAATAAAGAATTCCTCCCTTTGTCCTTTGTAAAATCTCTTGACAGTAAAAATGACTACATTTGTGACTGTGATCTGAGGACAAAGAGTAAAGAGCATCTTGGTGAAACATACGGACGGTAGGAACCAAGCTGCTGAGAAGTTTCACATCTAGGGCATGCACATACATCATACCAATAGAGTTTACACCTCAGGGGAGAAAGATCAGAAAGGTACATGGGAAATGCCACCCGAAGCTATATACAAACGCATGAACAAGAAGAACACATGGAGTCAAAGGGAGACGGTAATACAAGTTTAAGAAAAATACATTTTAAAATCATCTCAAAGCCAAGGACCGTATTTACTGAAAACTCAGACATTCTACAGAATATCTTGTAAACAGTGAAAATGCAGCTTATTTAAATGTAAAAAAAAAATGCAGCTTTATGTAATTCACAGTCTCAAAAGAAAATAAATTTCTGGTTTATCATCACTGCTCGGCTCGGTCTGCAAAACGGAATGATGTGAACAGAACTGGTCGGCATGCCCGGAGCGCAGGGCTGCGCACGCGCCCTCGGGGATGCCGCGGCCCTCCACGCCGCAGGCGCCCTTGGCGCTCCGCAAGTAGCCCGCGATGTACGAGCCGGTGGAGTGCCGGTTCCCCGCGGGTGCCGGTGCGCAGGGTTTGCTTCGAAGAACCACTCCTCCCACAGGGCTGGGGTTCACACTTTTCTGCTTGTTGGCTTCCTGCTTTTCCTTGGCGCGACTGGCAATGTTGCGCACTCTGCTCTGACTTCTGGATGACAACTTTCTGACCAGTGCCCTGGGGAACTGATTGACATCTTGCTTGGAATACAGCACTTGGCAGCCGTCTTCCTGGTCAAAGGACACAAGCTTCCGCAGCTGTTCGGTCAGGGCATCTATAGGCTCTAACGACTTTGTTTTCACAGTTACGCTCTTCTTGTCTCTGATGCCCGTTGTAACAAAGCTCTTACTAATACACTGGTACTTGCTTTCAAAATTACAGGCGATGTCCTCTGATGTTAAGTCTCCCAGACTTTTGGATTTGCAAGGACTGGGCAGCTTCAGAGCAGGCAGAGGAGGGTGTGTGGACTGCTCGGGGGCAGGGTCATGCATGTCTTGAACGCTAGACAGGGGCCCAGGGGTCTGGTTCTTTTTTGCATCTGAATTTGAGAAATGGTTATGCATAAAACCAGCTCCCTGATAGGCTAGACGAGAAATATTTTGATTTTTGACATCTTGAATACTACTGTTGAATATTTCAGAGACAGAAGAGTGGAGAGTCTCTTTACAGTAGCCATTTCTCAAGCCTCTTTGAAAATGTTCCACCACATCCTGACTGTATTTCAGTTTTAAAGGAGAAGCGAGGTGACTTGTGCCCTCTCTCCTATATCCATAGGTTGTTAAAGGCAGACTTTGTGAGTCTCCATCCATTTCCACGAGACTGCTCTCCCCAGAATTTAAACAGAGAGTGGGATCCACCATTACATCTTTCAGTGTCAAGTCAGTGGAAGTGGCAGGGCTGTGGTTCTTCAGTATTTCCCAGTCTTTTCTGTGGGTGGGACTTTTTAGTAACCAGCAGTGAGGATTATTAGAGGACAGAGGCAGATTGTTTTCCATGGCCCCTGTCTTGGTCTTCCCAGAAAGGTCATCTGCTTTAGTTTTAGAGACAGGAGTGCAGACAGACTCACAAACAGCTGCATGTGTTGAGCACTCAGAGATCTCGTGCCCCAGGAATGCAGTCTGCTCAGGAGATGAGCACAGGAAGGATGACTTGGGTTTTCCACTGGAAAAGCCATGCATGAAGGGCATTTTTAGGTCCATGGTAGGCAAGGGAGGATGGCCTGCTATCACACTGGGGCTCTGAAGATGAGACAAAACTGTGGGGTTAGCCTGGTCGCTGGTCTCATCAAACTGGCCAATCAGTGCTGAGATGGAACTGCCAGGCTCATTCTCATTTGTCAAAGTGACATTATCAATAAGATGGGAAATTTCACTCTCCTGGAGAATTGCAGTGGAATGTAAGTCAGGTATGTCAGAACAGAGCGTAGAGACGTCTGACAAAGAAAAGGATGTTGCAGCTCTGCCCTTATCCCAATTACCTTCCAGCTTCTTAATCTCCAGATTGCTTTGAGAAAGGATGCTTCCTGACAATGCGCTTTTCCCTACCACGAAGCCCCCAGCATTCCCATTTTCCTTGGTTTTCACACCACATAGATCTTGTGTTAGGCTAACTGCAGGGTCACGAGCCAAATGCTGCCTTGGGGAGAGGGATTTGTTGGTACACTGGTGTTCCTGGCGATCACTTAACACATTTGATTTGGTTCTCCCACCCTTTGGACCTGGTAGCAACTGTGCTGTGATTGACAAGTTGGCGGTAGAAACAGCAGAGTCCCCGTGGCTGATGTCTCTGTGGAGGAGAGCACTGGAGGAAGCGGATAACTTTTTGTTGAAATTTGGAAAATGTTGGTCTTTTATACTTGCCTTCCCATCTCTTCTGTCATCCGTATCTTCTGCTGAATGAAACAAACAATATTTTAAGTGACATGTATCACTTTACGTAGGACCTGCAGACACTCATGTTTGTCTTCAGACAGACAAATGGAAAATGTAAATCTGTTACATCGTGACAATATAATTATGGATTGCATAGATTTGCAACAAAGTGTCTGTGTGATGGATAAATGGTAAAATTTCACTGAAACTTCCCTTTGAATAGCTATTACATCAGCTAAGGATGTAATATTCATTGTAAAAGAAAATGTCAATGAGTTACCATACTTTTACAGTGAAGATTACCTTAAGTTGTTTCCTATTCAGATTTGTACTACACAGAAGCATGGCAATAGAAACAGAACAAGACAGCTCTGTTAAACAAAGTATTGTGGTACCTGTAAGCAAGATACTGTAAGCTTTCAAAGTTATACATGTGTTAGGAAAAAAAAAAAACCCACACAAATCATTTTGAAAAACATTTTGTCAAAATACTGATTTTAACCAATTAATTTCTAAAACAAATTGGAGGGTGCAATAGATGCATTAAAATATCAGTATCTGTTGACTTTAAAATGTAAAAATAAAGGCTTGGTCACCAATTTTATACCATTGCTAATATCTAATTTTCCATTGATCCTATTTTTTGGTTTTAATACATAAATTTCATATTGCATTCTCCCCTAAAAGAGGCAGTAAGATATCAGGCACAGTAAGGAAAACTATAAAAATACACAATTCAAAGTAATTTGGGGTACCCCATCCTGTTTAGTATAGTGCTAAGACAATATTGATATTAGGTGTTCAAGTGTTCTTAATCACATTATTTTAACGGATTTTATGCTTTCAGTTATGAGAATCAAGAAAATATGTTTAACTTTTTATTAAATATTTTCCTAACTAAAAAAATTCATCATAAAAATTTGATAAACCCAAAAATTATAAGGAAAAAAAATAAAGATTATATGATGTTACCACTCAGATAGCCACTGTAAGCTTTTGTAGAGGGATAGAATTATGCATACAATTTTTTATTCTGAATTTTTTCCACTTAATTTTTCTTCTACATGATAACTTGAATCATTGCATGGTTATGTACTGCTCCATATTTATAAGTTTTATACTTAAGTATTATTATATTATGCTATATATATATGAATAACTTATATAAATTTCCTGTTTTTTAAAGGGAGGAAAGAAACATAACTGTTACTTTCTAACTCACCTTAATGGTAGTAACATCTGAATTGTGGCATTACAGGATTAATTATTACTAATTTCTTTTGCTTTATTTTCCCCCCAAAATGGAGTTATTTATATTTACATGTAGTTTACTTTCCCCCAAAATGGAGTTTTGAAATAAATTTTAAAGCATATATTTCATCTCTTCTCTGATACTGCTCTTAGCAAAATTTCAAACTTGTTAACTGCCTTTTTCTCCTTCAAATAAACCATTCAAAAATTGGTTTGTCTCCCTACAATATCTTACAATAAAAATCAATACAAGCAAAGTGGTGTTTGTGAGAAAATAGATCATTGAAATTAGATTGCATGATGAAAGACTTTTGCTAAAAGAAACAGGTATCACATTCTCCTGTCTGAAGTGATTTTGATTTAATTAAAACATTTGTTGCAGAGACCTCACATGGGCACAGTTTGGGTGCTTAAATTATCTAAAATAGGGTGGGGGAAGAGTCACAGACACAAGGCAAGAGCTCTTTGGTACACTGTAAAGCAGATATCACTCTTTATCACGTTCTTGATATGAGTGAAGCATTATGCTCAAATTAGGGGAAAAGGTGGGTAATGCCTGCTTCCTATGCCTGAGGAATCTATGAATGGACAGGAGCTGCAGACATGCTTCCTTCCCTGCCAACATCCAGGGGTTAGGGAAACGAGGCCACAGGAAAACAGCTAATAAGCTACCTCTTGTGGAAGCAAAGATTTCTCAAGTGAAGAAGGTGGATTACTTTTAACATCTGGCTTTTCCTCTTTCTCCATAAACATTTCCAATTGTAGAAAACATGTTATATGGTGGGAAAGAAATATAACTAAATTCAACCTCGGAAAAGTCCATTTAATTCTATTCCTCCTCAGAAAATCAGTAAATATTGTACCCACTTAGAAAACCATGATCTCTGCTAATATTTTGCAGGTTTCACCTCCCTCTGTTGTGCCTCATAGACCCGTAGGCTCCATGCCATCACACCTGATCCCTCACTGTCAATTTCAGATGTCAATGTTATTTTGAGGCTTTAGGTGACTAGGAGATAGCTCTTTTACCACCCACTCTCCAAAGTTTAAAATACGGTCTAAAAGGTAACACTGTAATGTACTGTAATGTTTTATTTTCCAGTATATTTTACTTTGACTACAAAATGTCAGTCATGTAACAGTGGTAATTAGGGACCAAAATGGGCCTTAAAGGGGTGTATTCTTAGAGAAACTTAAAGCATCTTACCCAGAGAGCTTTCTTTTCCTTCTGTGTCTTTTGCAGTTTCGGATATAGGCAGCGACAGAGCCCCCAGAAGACTTCTGTCAACAGGCATAGAGACAGGGCGTGCTTGCAAACTCCGTGCGGTCCTTCTCAGGACCCCATCTTGATCTCTTGCAGCCTCAGACACAGAATCCTTTACCTCTACCATTTCTTGGAAGCCCATTTTGCTCTTTTTTCTGCCTTTGGCTGGAGCACTGGCTGTGCGTCGCAGAATCCTATCTCCAATCGATCGCTTCCGAACATAATGGGAACTGTTTTCTGAAGAGCTGTGCCTGGGATTCTTATTGAACAGCCCTTTCAGACCTTGGAGCTGTCTGTTCTGAAGACACAAAAGGACCAAGCACAAGTTAAGCAAATACCACTGTGTCAACTGCTTGCCTTTTAAATGACAGCTCCATGAAAAATGGATACAAAACGAAATCTCACAGCCACTGAAGAATATTCAAACCAAGAAAACAGCAGCTCACAGCATGTTTGCACAACGTCATGCACATTTTATCAACCTGACTTCGGGAGGAAGGCAGCCTCCCATTTTCACAACCAAGCTTTCCCACAAGTTTCCTGCCCGAAGATGACAAGGTGGTAGGAAGAGTTTCCACAGTGAAAAGACTGTAATGAACTTGAGCCACCTTAAAGCAACGGATGCATGTTTTAAAGTGGTAAGCAGGAAGATGGAGCGATGTGAGAGAGCATGCCGCCATGACCACTGAGAGAGAAACGCGCCAGCAAGAACCAAGCACCATGCTGAGAAACTACCTTTGTAGCTCCTAGAAAGTGCAATATAGTGTAACTGGGGTTGAGTATTAAAGGGCTCCACTGCAAGGGGGAGAAAAGCACAACAAAACACATTTTGGGCTCATTCAAGAAGGCTGCACAAGTAAAAACAGAAGGAGATAGAACACATATGCTCTCTAAACCCTTTCTCCCACTTTGGATTTTTAGTCACAAGTTCATTCATTGCTCAGTTCACCACTATCATGCTGTGGTTTATGCATATCGACCCAAACACCCCTTGAAAGTAATTAATGACTTACACATGGACATCTATTTAGGAAGGAGAACACAAGTCCTACAGAACACCTTCTTGGCTCAAGTTTTTAACAAACTGATTTTTATTATTTCTCTCAAGCATGTTAAGTGCTAGAGATGCTGCTTTGTTCACCTGGGATTCCTAGAAATTCAAGAATCATTTTTCGATCATTTACATTTGTGTATGTTTAGGCCAGAGGAGAGAGCCCAACAAGCACAAATAGAAACCCAGGACTAAACACAGAAAGTCATAAAACTTTATCACTCTTAGAAATTAGGATCCTTAGCACCTCACCCCTCCCAACTGATGGATGTGAGAATAAACACATACCTCCTATTTCAGGCCAAATTGGTCCACTACCTGCCAGTTGGATTATAGTCTCTAATAATATTAATATTAGCCAACATTTTTGAGCATTTACTATGTGCCAGGCAGCTTTTTAAAAGTAAAGTATTTGTTTATGAAGTAGGTACGATTTTTACCCCACATGTACAAATAAGGAAACGGAAGCACAGAGAATGTATATACCTCTGGAGGAGGAGCTCCAGGCAATGCAGACCTTCTGATAAAGAGCACTGGACATTCCCGGGCCCTGGTCAATGCTACAGCCCCTCCAAATCACATCTAGTCCTGAAAATTGATTCCAGTGGCCAAGTCCCCAATTACTTGGCATTACCAGAGGACAGCCTATTGATTTGTAAATCTCAAGTGAGCTCTGCAATGAAGAAACTGGCATCAGCAAAGAGCTAGAATACACCTCTATGGTCTCTTCCTTTTAAGTCCTGTGGGTGGCTTTTAATTCATTCATGATTTTTAGGTTTCCAGTTGAATACAATGGCACTGAATGAATGCATCCTGCCTAGAACTGGCTGGGATCATAGTCCAGTTAGTACAGGTAATTCAAACATCTGAGACTACATTTCCCACTGCAGTCAGCTGGGTCTTTTTAAGGATTATAATAAAATTCAAATATGTAAGTCTATCTGTCCTGTTTTAGTCAAACAAATGATTGCCCTAGAGAGTAATAGTTTTCTCAATTCTTTTAAGCCCAGAGAGGGCCCCTAGGTGGAGGGAATGAGTACACACCCCTAAAAAGAGGAAGGAGCACACACGGATGGAGACCTGTGGGCAGGAGAGCACACTGAGCACAGTGTGGGCTGGGCTTCACTAGAGTTTTCTGTTAAAAAAACAGCTTGTCAAGATACACGTTCCCTTTTATGAAATGAATTAGAAAACTTTATTAAGGACCATATTATTGTTGCATGTGGCTTTAAGCCCTGTGATCTTTCTTACCTTTCCATAGATTTCATTGATTGTTATGTGGACAAAAATGGATGCTTCCGTCAGTCCTTCCAAATAGACATGCCGGTAGCCTGATAAAAGTAGAGAAAGTAGTTTCCTTTTAGTTGAACTTGTGTTTGGCTTTCCCATGGGTGCAACAGAATTAAATACCTGACTTTACTATAGTTCTTTATGTTAACACTCACATTATCATATAACACATATTTTATATATCATATATGCCATGTATCATGTATATCACATATCATATATTAAATCTTCCAAAGAAAAGGAATGGTCAGTCTAGAGAGAAAAGGCCAGCCAGACTTACCAGGCACTAAGCTGCTAAAGGTCACAGTTCTTTGCCCAACAAAATCTCGTCCAATCGGATCGTGATCCCAGACAAGGAACCGAACCAAAGCTATTTCTGGCATGTGTACTGTAAATGTGAGGGTTTCTTCCCACACAGGGTTAAATCCTCAGAGAAACAGGAAAAGACAAATTAGAAAAGCAAAGGGGTTGGCTAAAAATGATTTAGCAGCAACATCTGCAAAGCAGACAGTGAAAATTGCTTGCAATGGTTATTAAACTCGTGAAGACAACTGAGCCACCCCGGGATGCCTTAATGAGATAAAGCCTTGGAATTTACCCCATTGCTAGAAAATAATTGGTAAGAAATTGCCTGTAAATTATTACATCAATTCTAATAATCTTTGATGCCACATCGCATTGTAGAGAAAGCTCTTTTAGACAATATCTAGAATGTTTCAATAAGCTCAAAAAGTATCTACAGTAGCGATCTAAGAATAATGTTTTAGCAAAAGCAATAAAGAATGACTCCTCTCCCCCACCCCCATCCCACCCCAGTAGAATGATGCTTCTCACCCACCAAAGATTCTGCTGCTGTGAGCATCACCAGCAAGCATTTTGTAAGGTTTCAATGCTATGGTACATAGACCATCCTATTTAATTCTTATGGTAATCCTCTAAGGGTGGAAGGGCAGAGGTTTTTTTCTAATTAAGAAAAAACATATATTACTGACTTTCAAAAATATATAACACTTAAAAATTACACAAGTAACCCATGCTCACTTTTCAACACAGGAAATATAATGCTCATTTTATAGTTGAGAAAACTGATGTTCAGAGAAAATAACATGCCTAACATCATGCAACTAGTGACAGAGCCAAAGGAGACGAGGCACTGCTGATTTCCAGTGGCTTCTCATGAAGCAAGACCTTAATACATGAAAGATGACATATTTTCATAGCTACTGAAAATAAATAGGAAAGGCATATAATTCAACTCAAATTCTAAAAGGCAAAACCACGTTTATTTCTCGGTAAAATTCTCTGATAAAATAATTAAACTGATAAAAATTCAAGCACTCTGTAAGTTGGTTTTTCTTTTCTAAAAATGAAAATTCATGTTATTAAATGTATGCATTCAGAAGGCATCAGCCACTTAACCCTAATGCCTTAGCTAATGAAATAGTTATGGACTGAAAATCATTGAGATGTCCCTCCTGAACAAGAGAAGGGATACTTTTTGTTGACTTAGTGATGACATCTCAATTATTTCTGAGACCAAAAAAAATATATTGAGCATTGGTAGGAAAATGCAGTATGGGAAGTTTGCTTATTTTAAGCATGTTATTTCCTAAGTAACAGGTTTGTGCTGCTCTTGAACCCTCTAATTCCTTTCCTTAAACTCCTCTTAAGGTCTCTCTAGGAACCTCTAACTTCCCAAGCATTTTGAGGATTGGGGTTTAGATTTTTTACAGTATTAAGGACTAGAGATTGAGAAAAACAGGCATGCAATAATGTTTGTCATATGTATGAATAAATACAACCTTAGAAGATTACTAAGAAAAAGACATGAGGCTTGAGTAAAGAAAGTTTTCTTTACATTATGGCCAAAACAGAAGAAGAACGCTGCCCATGCACCACAAGTACATATTCAAGAAGTAAACTTGCCAGAGCATGCTGCGCTTGCCTTTACAGTTGTACATGCTCCAGAAAAAAATGAGAATTCATTAGGACGTGGGCTTCACAAATGAGACTTTGAAGCAACTCATGTCATGAAAACAATATAAAAATATAACGAGTCATTTTCCTACATGAAGTTTTAACCCAGATCTTTAAAATATCATTCATTTCACTAGAAAAAACCATTTGCTTCAAAAGCAGAAGTCTTGGGAGCCTAGATTACAGCATCCATCAAAATATACCATGCATCAATACCATATTTACTTAGTTTTATGTGTTGAAAAATCTTAACAAAACTCAGATGGCAGTTACAGATTTTAGAAATTTGTTTCTCTTCCATGTAGACAAATTCTCTTTTTCAGTGCAAACTCTATTTCTACAGCATCCTTATTAAAAGTGAACAGAGATTATTATAATCTTACCATTGTCATCTACCACACGAGTCTGGTCTTTACAACAATCTACTGGCAATCCGATAATTTCAACTTCTACAAAAGGATCAATGATCTATATAGATAAAGAAAGTATTACTACAACTGATAAATTTCTACACATGTTAATTTAAGAATATTGGCCAAAATATCACATATCAACAGCAACCCATTTATTTAGGTGCTTACTAAGAAAGAGAAATCGTACCAGATTCAACAGAGTCAACTATGAAGCAGGAATAAAAAAAAGATTACATTGTTATTTGCCAATATCTACTAATGCTACAAAAACTTAACCCAATGAACCTTCAACTCCAGTTGAAGGTATATACCCAACAGAAATGAGAGTGTCTATCTATGCAGAAATGCTCAGAGCAGGTGAATTCATAATAGTCACACATTGGAAGCAACCTCAATGTCCATTATGAGTAAGATGGATAAACTGCAGAATATTCATCTAATGAATACTACACAGCAATGAAAAAATAACAAAGTTGTGCTACATAGCCATAATGTGGAACAAGCCAGACACGAAAGAGTGTATACCATCAGAGTCCATTTACATAAAGTTTGAGCACAGACTAAATTAATCTGTTTTGACAGGGGCTGGTATTTGATGGGGGGAAGGGAGGGCTGGGAGCAGATACTGACTGGGAGGGTGGACGGAAGCCTTCTGGGGGTTCTGGATATGTTCTACCTTGATCTGCTTACACAATAATTAATCAAGTTGTCCACATTTGATTGGTGCACTTTAATGTAGTTAAATCAATTGTGTACTATGATGTAAATTTAAAAGTATTTAAAAATAAAAAGATGAAAAGGTAATCAAAAGAAAAATATGAGTGTTTAGTTCCCCTCTTCCTCACCTTTACCTCCCCCATATCCCCTGCCCTCTGGGAGAGGGATCCTCCTTTGTTTGTCATCTGTAAGCTCTCCTTTGTAGTGCCAGTACTGGATAAGTAGCAATGAAGGAATAAAATCCTAAGGAACCCAGAAAGGAGAGAATTATGAAGTCTGGGAAAACATATTTTTAGGAGCTTGGAGACTAAGGAGAATACAGTTTTGGAGGGAGCTTCACGGAGTATGAGCTAGAGGTATGATAGAAACACATTTTGAGATGTTAGGTGGATAGACACGCTTTTTGTTCACTAAATAAATCACAGCTAAAGTTTACTAGTTTTCCATTAATTCTTTGATGCTAAAAGTTTTTCCTTAGAATAGAACACTGTGGTAAAACTGTACCATTGGGAGTCTTGGATTTGGGGACAGCTAATAAATATGACTAAGGAAAATAAAATTAAATTCCTTAGTTTTAAGGAATTTAAGAGGATTAATTTAAGTCTAAATTAAGGAATTTAAGAAGCCACAGGCTTGAAGAACAACTTCTTGCTTCAACACTTGGTTCCTGTGCTGGACTTCGGCAAGTTGTGTAACTGTCTGTGCTTCAGTTTCCTCATCTGTAAACCTAAGATAACAGTGTCCGCTTCATCATGCTGTAATCTAGGTGACATGCTGGGAGAATGGAACTGGATAGTGGTAGCAAGATTAGGGAGAGATTTGGGAGGTAGAATGTCCAAGAGATGCTAATTGAGTAGATGTGGAGAGCAAAGAAAAGGTGAAAATTAAAGATGACAATCAATTTTTTGATTAGGAGCAAGAAAAATTATTATTTCATTCTCAGAGATATGAACAGTGTGAGAGATCACAGCTTGAGAATTCAGGGGGACTAGAGGGGCGAGACACTATATTTTCATTAGCCTCTGACTAAAGCACAAATAGTAAAGTATTAGTACTGTAATTCTGTGCCTGGCAGAAATCACAGATGTTTTCAAGTCACATTATAGTTGCTGCAGAAATCTCCGTGTATCACCCATACTTATCACGACTTCAAAATTCTAATAGTTATTCAACCCCCCTCTAGAACCTGCTATTTATTGCATACATATTTGTATGTCACAGTTTGTTTTTAATATACTGATAAGTGAATTTCAATATAATTTGTCCTGTGTACCTTTATCTATTTTATTTTACGCAAACACATTATTCTGAGAAGGGGTCCAAAGGCCTCATCAGATGCCAGTGGGTTCTATGGCTCAAAAAAGAGTTAAAATCTCCTGACAGAGAACCTCATAAACCACAATAAGTAGGTTGGATTTTATTTTAATTATAAAAGAAGGTAATCCTCATGCATTTAAATGATTACTCTAACCCCAAAGATTATGTATTACAAAGATAAAGAAATACCGATGCAGTGAAAAACACCTGGAAGAAACCTCCTTATCCAAGTAACATTATCAATCCTGGGATAAACTGACATAATATGGCCCCAGATATGATACATTGAGAAGGATACACATTGCCCATGTAGTATTCCTGCCAAATATGTTTAGTCTGATTCTAATCATGAACAAACAATCAGGTAATCCAAACCAAAGGACACTCTGGACACAGCTGGCTTGGACATTTTTAAAAATATCAATATAATGAAAACAAAAGCTGGAGAACTGTTTTATATTTTAAAAGACCAAAGAGAAATGACAACTATAAGCAATGTGTGATTCTTAATTGGATTCTGAATCTAAAAAGAAAAAAAGAAGATGTAAGAACAATTTGGGGACAATGGGGGAAAATTGAATATAAATTTTATATTAGGTAACATTCTTGTACCAACAAACTATTGGGTATAAGATAGGCTCAAGGATGTATTGTACAACGTGGGAAATACAGCCAATATTTTGTAATAACTGTAAATGGAAAGTAACCTGTAAAAATTGTATAAAATTTTTTTAAATAAAATTTTAAAAAATGAATAAAGTTCTGATGGTCTAAGAAAATAAAATAAAATAGAAAAAAATATATTATTGTACCGATATTAAATGTCATGGGTGTAATGACTGTATTGTGGCTATACAGGATAAACTTGTTGTTCTTAAGAGACAAATGCTGAAGTATTTAGGGATTGCGGTCATGATGTTAACTTACTCTCAAATGACTCTCCAAAGAAAAGAAAATGCATATATATACACACATATATATAATTAAATTTTGTTATATTTGCTTTATTTCTCCCTTTCATGTGGATAAGTATATATGTATGTGTATATGTATATTTATGCACACATTTACACATGAAAGGAAGATAAAGCAAAAGTAACACAATTTAATGAGTTAATTGGTGAATCTAGGTGCTGGAGATACTGTGTTCATTTTATTCTTATTGCAACTTTCCTGAGGTTTGAAATATTTCAAAATAAAAAGTTTGGGGGAAAATATAGGAAGTGAGTCTTCCTTTTTGCAGACAATAAAGAAAAATGGAAAGAAGAGGAAGTAAGGATAAACTTTCTGATACTACCAAAATAACTATTCTTGCTGCTGAGAGAACAGAACTGGAAGCAGGGAGGCCAGTGAGCTGGGAGGCTACTGCAGCAGAACTGCCAAGAGATGGTGGCTTGGATTAGGCTGAAGACAATGCAGATGAAAGACATGGTCCCATCTGAAGCTCCTACTTTCTGAGAAGGAGGACATGGCGCCATCTACTGGAGAAAGTGATGAGAACAAATGTTTGAGGAGAGACGAGGTTGAAAATAGCCACTGTGGAGAATAGGATAGAGGACTGATCAGGTGGAGTTGGGATGGCAGTGCAGCACTACGTGTGGGTCAGTGGAGATCTGAGACAGAGTTGATGGTGGGACCACTGCAGAGCTGCATGGTTTCACCATCGACATTCAAGATCCAGAGAGGATAGTTTAACAGGTGGGAGTGGCAAAGAGCCTGAAGTGATGGACCACTCCTGAGAGGAAGGACATGAACAGAGGAGGGGCTGACAGGTAGGGAGAAAATGGAGGCCAAGGAGGCCAACAGCAGGTGGAATGGGAATAACGGAATGAAAGCTCTGGAAAGAGCGGAGGTTGTGGTCACAGAGGGAGACATTTTAAAATCATGCAACAGAAATGCATCAAGGCAAGAGCCAGCCTGTGGCCAGGGAGCAGGTGGCTGATGTGCAGCAGAGATGAGGGTCACAGTGGATGAGAAAGGCGGATGGAAGGTTAAGATGTTCTCCTAGGCAATGTGTCTATTAATAACAAAACTGCTCCTTGCATCTCAGTTTAGCATTGCCCGTGTCAGTCTTGAATCGTGAATTGAACTGTATTGCACTCATGCCTCCAAAATAGATGATGCACTGCACTCCAGAAAGAATTGCGTGTGCTTTGCCAATAAGTCAGTTAATATCTGATGAGCTGAGGTCAGTGCTCATTTACACACACACACACACACACACAGCCCTTAAGACATTTCAGATGAAATGTAAACACAATAAAATAAATCACATAATTAACCACTTGGTCGTATACAGCTTACCTCGCCTCGGTCTCCAAACATGGAATCTGGAGGTTTGGGGAGCTGTTGTCCACTAATTACTTTCAGGATGAACTGCTTCTTAGGGTTGGCAGGAAGTGGATCACCAGAGAAAGGGTTGAAAGTACCTAAGCCAAGTAAAGCAGAGGTTAAAAATCTAGGTTTGGTAGCATGGAAAAATAAACACACACATACCCCCACATACCTTAAGCTTGTAGAACAAAGAAACAATAAATGCTGGCTTACTATAGTGTTTCTTAAAGCAAAGAAATTATCACCTGACTATCAGCGTGGCTTTTGCCTGAAGGCAATGCCAGCTGGCATTTCCATAGCTGTGTTTTTTTGTTAGAACCTATGCTCCCAAAGGCCAGAAGAATGGACCAATTTAAAACAAGCGTCTGCGATGCAATTATCAACCAAGGCAGGAGGTAAGAGGAACATTTTATTTGACTGTCCATAGTATAGAGAAGGGGAGCAGTTGTCAGATTCACATAATTTTCTATCCTAAACTATTGCAGGTATAGAGTGAATATAATAAACAGAAAGAAGACCTGAAATTAAGTAAACAGTATAGCAAGAAAACACGCAAAGCACAAAATTCTGAAGACACATCTGTCAACAGTTTTTTACCTGAACTGTTAAAAATCCAACTTGGAAATCTTAAAAAGAATTTTAATGAGCAGAACCAAAAGGAAGTGTTTTTGATATAACATTGCATTATCTTTTTTTGTTGTTGTTAGCACAGTTTTGTAATTGGAATAAACTGACTAAAAAGGGCTTGATAAAATTGTTTCAGGTGTTATTACAATTTTGCCAGCAGGTCTCAGACTCACTTCCTTAGAGAGTTTCTGAAAGCATTCAGTTTACAAATAATGCCTAGTGAATATAATGCTGGACGACTGGATTTCAGGTGACAATCCACTGCTATTATCCATGTCCCTCTTTAAGTGCATAACATCACAAGGAACATTGTGAACATCACGCTACCCAAATATTAAACGGTTGTGACAAGAGTTCTTTATTTACATTTCAATACCGAATTTATCTCTTTTTTAAAAATCATGTTGCAAAACAGAGGCATCACACTTTCCACAGAGCTCCTTCAATAGAGGCCTCCTGCGTTCAGAGCTATGACTATGAAATTAACACACACCTTTGCACATCTGCTGGGGTTTGAGGACATAGCCGCAATTGCCATTTGTCTTGAATTTGGCTCGATTTAACTGCATCATTCGCCCTTCAGACTGGTAGTTCAATGCCACTGTGCAAGTTCAAAGTTTAAGAGAATTAGGCAAGACAGCAGCATAGAGTCAAGACACACGGAGAACCGCTCCTCCCCGAGGCATACACACCTAGCTGGCAACCTGCGTTCCAGTAGGGCAGAGGGTTGAAGTTACTGGAATCGATGCGGTAGGCAGAGGGATAAATCCTCGTGAGCTGCTTCTGATTATAAGTCATGAACTGCTCAGATTTCTGCTGAACCACCTGATGTGCTCTTGTTTCACTGAATGATAACACATTTCCTGTGGTTCCTACAAGTTTTTAACAAAGAAAACAGAAATGTGAGAACTGCTGCAAAGAAAACACCACTCATAAAAGATCTTATAATGATGTCCGATTACACCCATAATAAAAGGCAGAGCAAAAGAGTGAATTCAACCAGAGCAGGCACAGCTCCTGAGTAAGACAGGTCTAATAAAGTTCCACTCTCGGGACTCTTTTGCCATTTCAGATCAGAGCTGTGCATCTTGCTCAGATAACTGCCTATTTCTGGATCCCATATTCTCCCAAGAATTCAATCATCTCACTACTTCATGTCTATCTGACTAGTATGAAGAGGACAGACAGGAAAATTATTTTCTAGGCGCATGATTCAAGCAGAATAGCTTTGCCAGAGCTCAAGACACCTATGGATAAATAAAACTATCTTTGTAACTCATTCCTGATAAAAGGGAGACATTCGTTGAAGGCATTCATCTAGAAAGCATACATATGAAACACATTAAGTGACAGCATTCAGAGTCGAAGAAAATAAAGGGAAAAGACCAATTCCAAAGCAGGAAAATTGGGTTTTAAAGTTACTTTGAATAGAATTATGAAACCAGTCAAAACCTATTTGGGAGAAAGGAATCATAATGGGAAAAGAATTCAAAAGAACATCATAAAGAAATAAAAGTTTCAGAAACAAGAACAGCCATCCACCTAGCCAGATTTATAAATAATGGAAAAGTAAAGGGAGGTAAAAAACAGGAAGCCTATATTAAAGTTTCTGCTTGGAGCATCATCAGAAAGGGTTAATCCAGGACCAACGAAGCTACAAGTTAGGGGGTCATGATGGAGTAAACCTCCAATTACTTAATGTCTTACCCTTTTCTCCCAGTACTATCTTTTGTACCACATCTAAAATGCTCCCACTACTCCCACCCCTTCACCAAACATCCATACCCCACCCCTCAAATGACCACCCCATGTCACCTGGTACCTGTTGGAATAGACCAGCCCAGATAAAGATCCAAAAGTGCCCAGAGTCTCATTCTCATTCCAATGTGTGCTCTGAACCCAGCCTGCGGGACATGGCTCATGAAACAAAGGAGGTGAATTATAATCTTACTGAGCCTGAATGGTATCCAGACTCTGCATGTTTATTCATGCACACAGTCTCCCAGGGCCCTTGGTGTCCTTAGGGTTGTACAGCCTTAGTTATTAAACACTGGCCAAATGACTAGCAACTACACTCTACAACACGGAACAGTCATAAACACAAGGGGAAGGCAAAGAAATTAGAGAATTACAGTGCTTAATCTGATGATTTCCCTCAAATAGACTCTTTCCTTATCACATATATCGATATCTTACTGACATAACTTCGCATAGTTTACATATCTCAAGCATACTAAAAATGACCATATTTGTAGATTTTGATGAGGAATACTTTGAACAGGGTAAAAGAAAATATACTCTTTTTGACAAACCACATTCAGGTAGAGTGGCACTAAAATTAGTACCACTATTTTCTCTGTCTCTCTACATAAATTACGCACACCACATTATCAATAAGATGACCTTGCTAATTAGGTACATGTCAATTAGTATATTAATAGAGCTGAGTTGCTTTGCATTAGGATGAGCCACGCATTCATTATCTATTGCTTATTTTGTGGCTAACACACACACACACACACAAAAGACAAAAACAGATAAAGTTCAAGAACTACACAGTCCTCAATATTATTTTCCATTAAGCTAATAGGATTATGATTACCTAAGGCATGTAGTAAAAATATTTCTATGAACCAAATATACCTTTAACTCCATTAAAATACTTCCTGAGTTTATTTTCTAGCTGTGGGCAGATATTATAAGAATGTGATGTTCAGGTACCACCTCACACTGGTCAGACAGTCATCTCAAAAAGTCTACAAATAATAAATGCTGGAGAGGGTATGGAGAAAAGGAAACCCTCCTACAAGGTTGGTGGGAATGTAAACTGGTGCAGCTACTATGGAGAACAGTATGGAGGTTCCTTAAAAAACTAAAAATAGAGCTACTATATGATCCTGCAATCCCACTCCTGGGCACATATCCAGAAAAGATGAAAGCTCTAATTCGAAAAGATACACACCCCCCCAATGTTCACTGCAGCACTATTTACAATAGCCAAAACATGGAAGCAACCTAAATGCCCATTAACAGAGGAATGGATAAAGAAGATGTGATACATATATACAATGGAATATTACTCAACCATAAAAAAGAACGAAATAATGCCATTTGCAGCAACATGGATGGACCTGGAGATTATCATACTAGCAAAGTCAGACAGAGAAAGACAAATATCATATGATATCACTTACATATGGGATCTAAAATATGACACAAATGAACTTATTTACAAAACAGAAATAGACTCACAGACATAGAAAACCAGCCTATGGTTACAAAAGAGGAAAGGGGAGGGATAAATTAGGAGTTTGGGATTAATATATACACACTACTATATATAAAATAAAGAACAAGGTCTTACTGTGTAGCACAGGGAACTAAATTCAATACCTTGTAATAACTTATAATGGAAAAGACTCTGGAAAAAAAAAGAATGTGATGTTCACTTGCTGAGAATCCTACAGGTTCTTATGTTCTCACATGTGAAATTAATTTTTAAAAATAATTGTCACCATCTAAAGAAGGAATCAACACCAAAGGGAAGAAAATCTGCAGATAGAAAAAGATACACTTGTGGAATGGCGGGGGGGGGGGGGGGAAAAAAGATCTGAGGAAAGAATCCTGGAGGTTGTGAGGACATAAGACTCAGCACAGGCAGTCAACAAAAACAAAGATTGAGAGGGGGAAGACGGCGGAAGAGTAAGACACGGAGATCACCTTCCTCCCCACAGATACATCAGAAATACATCTACACGTGGAACAACTACTACAGAGCACCTACAGAACGCTGGCAGAAGACCTCAGACCTCCCAAAAGCCAAGAAACTCCCCACGTACCTGGGTAGGGCAAAAGAAAAAAAGAATAAACAGAGACAAAAGGATAGGGACAGGACCTGCACCAGTGGGAGGGAGCTGTGAAGGAGGAAAGGTTTCCACACAGCAGAAGCCCCTTCGTGGGCGGAGACTGTGGGCGGCGGAGGGGGGAAGCTTCAGAGCCACGGAGGAGAGCACAGCAACAGGGGTGCAGAGGGCAAAGCGGAGAGATTTCCGCACAGAGGATCCGTGCCGACCAGCACTCACCAGCCTGAGAAGCTTGTCTGCTCACCCGCCAGAGCAGGCGGGGCTGGGAGCTGAGGCTCGGGCTTCGGGCTGTCGGAGCGCAGGGAGAGGACTGGGGTTGGTGGCGTGAACACAGCCTGAAGGGGTTAGGGCACCACAGCTAGCTGGGAATGAGTCCGGGAAAAAGTCTGGAGCTGCCAAAGAGGCAAGAGACTTTTTCTTCCCTCTTTGTTTCCTGGTGCGCGAGGAGAGGGGATTAAGAGCGCTGCTTAAAGGAGCTCCAGAGACGGGCGTGAGCCGCGGCTAAAAGCGCGGACCCCAGAGACAGGCATGAGACGCTAAGGCTGCTGCTGCCGCCACCAAGAAGCTTGTGTGCGAGCACAGGTCACTCTCCACACCTCCCTTCCGGGGAGGCTGTGCAGCCCGCCACTGCCAGGGTCCCAGGATCCAGGAACAACTTCCCCGGGAGAACGCACGGCGCACCTCAGGCTGGTGCAACGTCACGCCGGCCTCTGCCGCTGCAGGCCAGCCCCGCACTCCGCGCCCCTCCCTCCCGCCCGGCCTGAGTGAGCCGGAGCCTCCGAATCAGCGGCTCCTTTAACCCCGTCCTGTCTGAGCGAAGAACAGATGCCCTCCGGGGACCCACACGCAGAGGCGGGGCCAAATCCAAAACTGAAACCCGGGAGCTGTGCGAACAAAGAAGAGAAAGGGAAATCTCTCCCAGCAGCCTCAGGAGCAGCGGATTAAATCTCCACAAACAACTTGATGTACCCTGCATCTGTGGAATACCTGAATAGACAACAAATCATCCCAAATTGAGAAGGTGGACTTTGAGAGCAAGATTTATTATTTTTTTCCCCTTTTCCTCTTTTTGTGAGTGTGTATGTGTATGCTTCTGTGTGAGATTTTGTCTGTATAGCTTTGCTTTCATCACTTGTCCTAGGGATCCATCCGTCCATTTTTTTGTTTGTTTTTATACTTGAAAAATTTTTTTTCCTTAATTACTTTTTATTTTAATAACTTTATTTTATTTTACCTTACTTTATTTTATTTTCTTTTATCCTCTTTCTTTCTTTCTACTTCTTCTCCCTTTTATTCTGAGCTGTGTGGATGAAAGGCTCTGGGTGCTGCTGCCAGGAGTCAATGCTGTGCCTCTGACACGGGAGAGCCAACTTCAGGACACTGGTCCACAAGAGACCTCCCAGCTCCACGTAATAACAAACGGTGAAAATCTCCCAGAGATCTCAATCTCAACACCAACACCCAGCTTCACTCAATGACCAGCAGGCTACAGTGTTGGACACCCTATGCCAAACAACTAGCAAGACAGGAACACAACCCCAGGCATTAGCAGAGAGACTGCCTAAAATCATAATAGGTCCACAGACACCCCAAAACACACCACCAGACGTGGACCTGCCCACCAGAAACACAAGATCCAGCCTCATCCACCAGAACACAGACACGAGTCCCCTCCACCAGGAAGCCTACACAACCCACTGAACCAACTTTAGCCACAGGGGACAGACACCAAAAATAACGGAAACTACAAACCTACCGCCTGCAAAAAGGAGACCCCAAACACAGTAAGATAAGCAAAATGAGAAGACAGAAAAACACACAGCAGATGAAGGAGCAAGATAAAAACCCACCATATCTAACAAATGAAGAGGAAATAGGCAGTCTACCTGAAAAAGAATTCAGAATAATTATAGTAAATATGATCCAAAATCTTGGAAATAGAATAGAGAAAATGCAAAAAACATTTAACAAGGACCTAGAAGAACTAAAGATGAAACAAGCAACGATGA